ATAAAAAAGTTTCATAATAATTAAGATGATGCATCGATACAAAGCATTTGTAATAGGTTTTGTTTTTAACTACATATTACAATCTATGATAAAAGGAAATAAATAAGACATGACTACTATCCTTGTATTGAATTAACAAGTTCGTCTCTTATGCTGTCACGAACCTGAGCCATGTAAGATGAAGATTGAATTGATGAATGTATACATGAAAATCCAACCCCATCATCATCTTCTTCTGCATAAGCACCTTCTTCTTCCAACTGAACGAATCCAGGATCAGTAATAGATGTCGTTCTAATAAAATTATGTATAGCCATCGTTGCACAAACGATTTTAACTTGTGTTTCATAATCATAGGATGACATGTTTTGTAAGATTGCAAACTTTTTTTTCCAAACTCCGAAAGTTCTTTCAATTGTACTCCTTAAACTTGAATGGAAATAATTAAAGACCTCATTGTCATTTTCAAACCCAGATGTCCTTCGAAAATCAGGCAGATGGTAACGCTCCCGTCTGCATGGGCCGAGATATCCATTTGGTGTTGGGTATCCAGCATCCACCAAATAATATTTTCCTATATAAAAAATGAAATTATTGTAAATTATGTTTCTATTGTTAAGCTAAATATAAATAAAATGTAGGAAATAAAAAAATACCTTCAGGTGGATGGGGAAAGTTCATTGAAGGAGTTGTGAGGGCATGATCAAATATCCGAGCATCATGTGCGCTACCTTCCCATCCGGCGAAGACAAAAGTAAAACACATATCCCAATCACAAACTGCCATGACATTTTGTGACACTGTTTCTTTTCTAGAGATAAATTTAGTTTGATCTGTTGCACTGACAACGCAGGAAACATGTGTGCCATCAATTGCTCCAATAGCATGTTTAAAAAAAGGCCAGTATTTACCAAACCGAATTTTTGTATGAACATGCCGGAATGTTGGATCTTTTGGTTTGATATTAGACATGGCAAGTCTACAGCATGCCATTAGGACATTATGAAAATGTCTGCTAATTGTCTCCCCTGAATGTTGAAATCTTTCTTGTTGCATTCTGCTATTAAGTACATGGCCAACGGTATGTAAAAACATTGCAACTGATTCATGTATCCCTATATTTTTAGTTTCTTTTAGACCATGTTGTTGCAATTGTTCCACTAGACTTAAGAACACATCCCGTTCCATCCTAAACATGTTATAACAACGACTGGAGTTGCCATCTAAAACATCCCTTACCCATAAGCAGCCTGTATAAGCACTTGTATGTCGAGGCTCTTTACACAAGTTCAAAGTAGCGTATGCACCGACCAATGCTGCAACTTTGTTAACCCTTTTTTTTCGTCCCTTAGCATGCTCTTCCACACATTTAATTTCAGCATCCATATTCGTTTTATCCTGTGCACATACACATAAAATTTAGAATTCTTACGTAGAAATTACGAAACATTTATAAAAGTTACAGAGTTGTTTGATTCATATAACAACCCACTAGTAACATAAAACGATACACATATGGAACTGTCTAATATAATAAACAAGTCATAAATCCCTAGTGTAATACTCCAAAATAGGCAGAAGTTGTTCCTTCTGATCCTTCAGAGCTGCATACATTTCCCGTGCCTCCGGCCGTTCCATAAGGAGTTGTGTGCACCGTCTAAAGAAATCAGGATCACTGACAACTTCAGGAACTGATTTCAGGTGAGACAGGACTCCCCTAATTGAAATCTCATAAGCACGCGCTTCTTCTTCCAACCTTCTAGCTTCTTCTTCCAACCTTCTAGCTTCCACTCATGAAATGACCTCATTTCCACGTTCGGCCTCAGAAATATTTGTTTCAGCAATCTTGCTAAGTGCATCCGCTATTTTCATAGAGGGAGATATGTGTTTCTTCTTGACTTCACTCTTTCTTCTGACCCCCAGTGAGCTACTAGGTCGACTCCTACCTCTGCTTGTACCCCCACCACTGTTATCCTGCCTCAATTCAGTGTTGCCTCCACTACCTCCACTATTATCATTGAAGTTCACTGTGTTAAATTCCCTACTTATACCAGTTGGTGCACCTAAAATTTCATCGCTATCTTCGGACCCTTCTTCCAAATCTTCATTCGGTGTTCCTTCACTTGGAAGTGTCATGGAAGAAGGTGCCCATGCTTGTGGTCCAGTTGCAGCCATACTCTCGAACAGTTGAGTTAATTGATCCCTAAATTAAAGTCCTCTTTCTCTAAATTTTTTGTAGTTTGGAACTTCCTGCACATTAGACACCAATAATATCATAAAATATTCAAAAAAAAAACAGTAAATATGCACAAAACATTAACAGGCAGAGAAAATGTAAGATCAAAAGGTTCAATAATTACCCTTATTTTCCTCTCCCACCAATCATCAGTTGCACTGATAGTATTCCTTTCAGTATCCCATCCCAATCCTATCTCGCGAAGCAGCCTATCCCATGTCTGCCACTCCTTTTGTAGGGAATCATATTTATTCTTAAATTGAGATTTTTCATACACTCTCCCAATGTTGGCAGTAAACTTATCACCAAGAATATCCCAAGCTTTCTTTGTTAAGCTAGTACTTTTTCTTTCCCCTTGTTGCACAAGTTCAATGCATAAGTCAAGAAACACTTTAGTGGTTCTTAGATCCCAGGAAGCTTTCACCGTATCCTTACCCATTATGCTATAGCACAATTACAGCTCTTCAGTCATCACAAGTTAATCAACCCAAAATCATATGAAATAACAAAAATCATATTGTCTACTGCAATAGGTGAAAAATTGACCACATTTTAAATCTCAATTCCTTCCTACCAAACCATGCGTGACAAAAATTAACAAACACAAGAAAATTCTAATTTTACATGGCTAGAAAAAATACACCCCCTCCTTTCTAAACTTCATTATCTGTTTTTACTTCAAAATACTAAAACTTTTAAAACGTCCAAAATAACATGTTAATTAAATATACTTTTTTTTTCTTAACTATTGTAGAAAGACGATTGGAGGCCAAAATAATAAGAATAACCATATTTGAACTATCATGCACTATAAATCATCTTGTACTTAACCTTTGAATGACTGTGTATTACGAATATATTTGAAAAAAATTCGTTCAACTGTGTAATGAATACAAATGTTCATGATGAACGCAATAATATTATAAAGCACATTATTGTTTTTAAAAAATAACATGTTGCACAAGCCTTTCATAATATTTTTTAAAAATTATATCCTTATCAGATTTGTCAACCGAAAATAAAAAAAACTAGCAACATAAACCTCTGACCAAAATACAAATCACTTCCTTCAATATATATACATGGATTTCAGTTGTGATTTCATTTTTCCTCACTCTCAAAAGTTGGCCATAAATTTATCAAAATCCTTAATACAACAGTACAGGACAACACAATTCTTATCTCATCCCAAATCAGATCAACTCTTAACAAATAATATTAATGAATTTACTTAATCACAAGTACTATCCACGGCAAAAAAAAAACCAAAGTCTCGACTTCACAGGCTTCTTCTCCGGGGGAAATCTGGACAGAAAAAAGGATCCCACGCCAAGCAACAACAGGAAAAACAACTTGCATTGAATTTATATAACCAGTAGAATTCAATTGCCAGACTTTCTCATCCATATACGTCCCCTGCCTCCAAAACCAGACATTGATTACCAGAATCTGTTCCCTCTTCGTTTCATAAAATCAGAAGCAATTTACCAAACTAAGCAATAATGATATCATTCCTTCGAACAACAAAAACCTGGTTGAGCAAGTTGAAAAATGGAACCGAGAGGAAGCTTGCAATTCGAAGAGGATATACAGCCAAATCATTCCAAATCAACATATCACAGTCAACATACTAATAGGCACGGTTCTAAAAAAATTCATATGACTTGCAACGGGATGACAGATCGAAGACAGAGGAGGGACCGAACCAGAACCATAAGCAGGAAGCTGATAGATCGATGAATGGAGGAAATACATGAGTGAACAAAATTTTTAATATCACCAGAGAGAGCTAACCTGAGTACAAGATCTGACCAACCGAACTAGACAAGCCGACCTCACCGAGCGAACTGAAGAACGAAGATTGGAGACAGAGGATGGATGGATCGGACTACCCAACGCTTGATCTGGTTTTGGCGAGCCGAGAAACACACGACCAGCCCCTGTTTTCGCGAGGCCAGGGCGATCTCACCGGTGTAGAATTTCAGAGCAGCGACGGCGAAGAGGCGAGCTGGCGATGAAGAACGGGCAAAGACGCGACTTGATGATGAAGGGGCGAAGAGACGAGCTGATGATCAAGGGGCGAAGAGCCGAGCTTCAAGCTGAATGGAGAGAATAATCACTCTGATCGTTCATGAAGGAGTGTCGGCCAGCGAAGAAGAGAAGGAAGAGGGTGTTTTTGGAATGACTATTGCCACCTGATGAGTTGTTCCAAATTTTTTACTACAAGCGACAATTATTAGCTTCTGATAAAACCATGGTTTTATCTTAAACCACGGTTTGCAATTTTCAGCCTGTTTGGATGACATTTTAGGCAAACCATGATTTGAGCTTCCAAACCATGGTTTACAATGTCATCCAAACAGGCCTTAAATGAAACTAACGTTGAACACTTTCCATGGCTCGTACTTTTGAAATGAGCACAGGCTTGACCCCTCTGCTTCCCAGAGGCTGTGTGTGCTCGGGACGAAGCTCTGCAATCATCACTAGGGCTTCTCGCTCGCGCATTGTGTCTCCCTTTCTCCTTCTTCGTCGTCGCAACAATCTCTTGTGACCTTTTCTCTCCTTCGCCGTCTCTTCCATTTTTGACTCCAGGCAAGCCATTTTTCGGGCACTTTCCTGCTGTTCATTCCTTCCACTATTTCGCTGCATTCTGCGAAGGCCTTGTTTATTTTCTCGAAATTTCAGAGTTTTGTGAATGTTCCATTCCTGTGTGTTGCTCTATTTGTTCAATTTTAAATGAGTTTGAGTATCTTCACTGTCAGCTTAGAGGCTTTTCGTAGTATCCTCAGAAGACGTCCCCAGTTGGAAAAGCTGGTGGTCCTTGGAAGTCGATTTATTTGAAAGAGTGGTCTATACGAATATGGGCTTGCATGTTCGAATCTTTGTCTTGTTGATGATAGCTTTTACAGGAACCTTTTGTACTGGAGATACCGACTTACTTGACGGTACGGTACCTGCTCCTTCTTTGTCTTCTTTAGCCCATTTGGTCTTATTTTTGAAGCTGCTCCTTTATTATTATTTTTTCCTCAAAATTCATATTTAAGATAGAGTCATCATGGTGGCGGTAAAATTTTCAATGCTTTCTCGGACAGTCTGGAACTTTTACATGTGAATGAGCATAAACTTACTGGGAAATGTCACCTGGTTAAACATCATGGCATGTTCTTTTGTTTAACGCAGAATTTAATGAAAGTATCTTTTTTTTTAAATGATGTGCTATTGTTACAGTTGCAGCAATTAATAGTTTATATGTTGCTCTGGGCTCACCGCCTCTTCAAGGTTGGAAAACCACTGGGGGAGATCCGTGTGCAGAATTGTGGCAAGGCGTGGCTTGTGTCTTCTCCAACATAACTCAATTGTATGTTTACCGTATCGCCCTTAAATACCCGGTGGTTAATCTTATATTCTGTTTTTTTTTGTTTGTTTTGTTTTGTTTTGTTTTTTTGGGGACTAGCACAGGTATCCTTGCTTCTGTTGGATTTCAAATTATTGAGAAATTTGATTTATTATATAAAGTCTTTCATTTATGTTTCTACGTTGTTTGATTGATAGAATTGGCTCTAGACTTAATCATTGCATTTCCATTAACAGAAGTCTCAGAGGCATGAACTTGGGTGGAGAGCTGGGCAGTAATTTAAATTTTCCTTCCATCATTGAGATGTAAGTATCGATTTCCAAGATAACAGTACACGTACGTAATCAGCCTGTAGTTATTGATTCCACAATCCACGTTGTAGCATCTATTGTCTTTAGACTAACTAAATTCGTTAATCTAAGCTACAAATAATTTTGAATGAGCTTAAGTTGCCTTTAGCTGTGGCCTACTTGTTTGCCTCTGAAATACCAACAAATATGCGTGTCATGCTCCCATGAGTCCTAAGTCTCTGGTGATTGGAGGAGTCCTTCAGTTTTGACTCGATCCACAAGAGACAACTTTGCATGTTTATATTGTATTATAATAATACTGGGAATGCATATTGAACTTGGATGTTTTAAATGTCAACTTGTTTTGGGTCTGTACTATGTAGTGGCTGGATTGAGAATCTGACAGGTTTCAATCCATTGTCGCCACCAAAATGTGCAACAGGAGACGTAAGGAAGTGACAGAGGGCCAAAAAGGTGGGGCTAGTGGCACAATGAAGGACCCAAATGTTTATATGCCAAAAAATAGATGAGTGAGTGTGCAAAAGGAGGGAGTAATGATGGTAGGATGGAGCAATGAAAGAGTTGTTGAGTTGGATATTAATGGAGAGTAGTTGAGGAGGGAAAAAAGAAGAATTTTGGTCAGTTCTTAGTGGAGACGACCAACCTCTCAAAAGTTGGCTAACCTGTTATATTCTTGAGGTTCTGGTCCTGTATGGTTGAGTTTGGTGTGTATTTGTGTAGTTAGTATTTAAGTCCTTTTGTTCATCTTATTTGCTAGTCTTCTGAAAGTGTAATCCATATCTTCATTATATCTTTGTCATTTGTAACATCTGTGAAGTTTAATATTCTCTAGCAGACGTATATCATTGGCAACCCCAGGACCAATAGTTACGGGTTCATCAGCTTTATTATGTGTTTATATTAGAGTGCATAATTATAAATAAGAAAACATTTAAATATGATATAAATAGCATAAACAAGATTTAAATGATATTAGTAGAACTTAGATAGGATTTAATGATATTAGTAGGATTTGGATAGATTAGGATATCTAGAGAATGTTTAAATAATATTAGGATATCTATTTAGATTTATATTTATTAGGGCTTTTGCTTATAAATAAGTACCCACTATTCTTCGTAACTTAGTTTTGCAATGTGATGTGATTGAAGTTATCAGTTTCTCTTGATCTCCTCCGTTTCCCTAATTTCTCTTTCCTCATTCTCTCATCTATTTCTTTACTTTCCATAACATGGCCCAAGTTAGGGTATTTTAACTTGTAACTGAAAGTAACTACTCATTAGTACTGTTTCTTTCATTATCTTGTATAGCTCTTCTTTTTCATGAGTCTCTTTTTTCAATCTGTTTTGATAGAAATGGTCAGATCCCTAACAATATCTCATGACGCTTTATTTTCCATATTTTGCTAGAGATCTTAGCAACAACCACATCGGAGGACCTATTCCATCCACACTACCCCTTACTTTGAGGAACTTGTAAGCATCATTATCTTCTATTCCTTTGTATATTGACCATTTGGTTAGTTGTGTTGAGTGATTTTTTCCCTCTCTTCATTTGTCCGAATGTCTTAAAGTAAATTTTCATTCCTTTTTACCTTTAGGTCTCTTTCAAGTAACCAGTTAAATGGAAGTATTCCAGATGCCCTCTCCTCTCTAACACAATTGTCAGATTTGTGAGTTAATTCATTATCTTCTTCCCATAATGCAATATGGGCTTGTTATAATTCGTAATGAAAATAGCCTGTTCATTTTGATGGGCTTGTGTTCCTTCAATTAGGTCATTAAGTAATAACCTTCTAGATGGACAAATCCCTGATGTTTTTCAGCAGCTTACTGGCCTGATAAACATGTAAGAAAATGGTTTTAATTCACCTTAATATTTCTATCATTATTTTATCCTGCATTGACAGAAGTCATGTGATACTGCAGAGACCTGTCAGCTAACAAGTTGAGTGGTCAGCTACCCCTCTCACTGGGAAATTTGTCATTGCTTTCAACATTGTGAGTATACTTTCTCGTCAATTTTATAATCTAGTTGCCAACCTTTTAATGAGGAATTGAGGATTTTGTTTTAACGTTTTTTGCAGACATTTGCAGAACAATGAACTTTCTGGGTTTCTTAATGTTTTGCAAGACCTTCCTCTTCAGGATTTGTAAATTTCTTACTACCCCTATGCCATTTACAGACATTAATGAATAGAAATATAAATTTGTATACATATGTATAACTGAATATCTAAACCTGTTATAATGCATATAAAGCAAAGAAATGTTGAGCACCAATTTTTATTTTGTAGGAATATAGAGAACAATTTATTCTTTGGGCCAATTCCTCCACAATTGTTGAGTATCCCAAATCTCAGGTTAGCCTTTTTGTGCCCCCCCGCCCCACCCAAAAAAAAAAAGGTTTATTTTCTTAAAACTTTGGTTTGCATGAGAAAAATTATTATTATAGTATTATTCTTATAATAATTACAATATAAATTTAGTATTAAGATTCTTCTTTTATAGGTTTGCGCAGCATATTGTTTATTTCCTGCTTTCAAGCTAGTTCTAAGAGCATTCCCCCTGCAGAAAAGATGGAAATCCATTTAATACTACTGTCATCCGATCACCTCCAGCTGCAGCCCCAGGTCCTCTTGCTATGGTCCCATCACCTGCTGAAGCATCTTGGAATGTGGCAAATAGTCCATTTACCTTGGTTGCAGCGATACCTGCAAGTGCTAGGAAGTATTTTGTATCTAAGAATGTTATTTGGATTGTCATTGCTGGGTTCTTGGTGTTTATTGCACTAGGGGTCTGTCTTTTTATATTGTGGTGCTTTAAGAAAAGGCCGGAAAACAAAAATGCTCAAAAAAGTGATGTGGGTTTGGGCCCAGTGTCGTTGCATAAACATCAATACAGTGACCCTTTGGAGAAAGGTAACTATAACTAATCTCATGTGAGGCTTCTTTTTTTTTTTTTTTTTTTTGTTTTTTTTGGGCTATTGTGAATTAACTTCTCTAACTCTCCTGGCAATTTCTCTTGAAGCATCTTTGAAACCAATAAGATCTCTTGGATATGGCGAACAAAATAGAAGAACAAATATGACTCCAGATGTTCAGAATGAACAGGAAATATATATGAACAGAGTATCAGCAAGTTCCAAACTTGCAACATTGCAGCCACCACCATCTAACCTTCCCATCAATCTTGGCGAAGAGGACCTAACCAAGCCAGTTATGCCTACCAAAGTTACTGAAAGACATGTTATGACTAGTTCATTGCATGTTTATACTATTGCATCGCTTCAGCAGTATACAAATAGTTTTTCCCAAGAAAATTATATTGGTGAAGGCACACTGGGTGTCATTTATCGGGCTGAGCTCCCTGATGGAAAGGTAAAAATCTTTTATTTTATATTTTGAATGATGCTTAGAGGGTGAGCCTGGGCAATGGTAAGGTTGTTGTCATGTGATTTGGAGGTCACGGGTTCAAACCTTAGAAATTGCCTCTTGTACGCTAAGGTTACGTACATCTATTCCTTCCCGGACCCCATCTGGTGGGAGCCTTGTGCACTAAACTGCCCCCTTTTTTTAAAAATATTGAATGATGCTCTAGTTTGAAATGAGTTATCGGCTGGTATCTTTGGTGCGTTATTGTTTTTGTTAATTTAGAATAAATTGGCTGAGCAATTGAATTCTTAACTTCAGGAATTTATTTGATGCTAGGGTCCATACATATAGGAATTGAAAATAACTGCAGAATTTTAAAAAAATCTAATCTAGATAAAATAAATCTAATCTAGATAAAACCAGACCTATCTTATAGAAACAAAATATTGAAATAATAAATTAATATTAAACTAACAACAAACTAATGGGCTCTTAATGGGCTTGGATTTTTTGGACATTATTCAACACTCCCCCTCAAGCTAGAGAATAGATATTCATCATTCCCAACTTGCTCGTGAAATCATCAAACTTTGCTATTGATAACGATTTGGTCAAGATGTCAGTAACTTATTGGCTAGAAGTAGTGTATGCTACCTCAACCCTCTTGTCTTCTATGTTTTCATTAAGGAAGTATCAGTCTATCTCAACATGCTTCATCTTGTCATAACGTACATGATTCTTTACAAGTTTGATAGTAGAGGTGTTATCATAGAACACCCTCCTTGGACCTTCTCGTGAAGCTTTAGCTCTTTAAAGAGTCTATCAAGCCATATCCCCTCACATTAGTGTAAGGGCCAATTAAGGTTAGCAGCTAGAGAGAGTAATACTTTGATTGTGTTAAACTTAGTAACTGGAGCAAATGTCTCCTGATAGTCTATTTCATATTGTTGAGTGTAACCTTTAGCAACTAACCTCGCCTTATACTCACCGAATTGTCCGAATTTCATTTCTTTATCAAACCCATCTGCATTCGATTGTTGTCTTTTAGGAAGTTCAATTAATTCCCAAGTGCTATTTTTGATCAAGGCAGTCATTTCTTCATTAATAGCCTTTCTCCATTGAGGAATCTCCAATGCGTCATGTATATTTTTGGGAATATCATCACCAGAAGTTCTAGCAGTAAAAGCTCTCAAGGTAGGGGATAATTTCTCATAAGATATAAAATTACTAATAGGATGTTTAATAGTGCAAGATCTTACCTTTTTTCTTAATGTAATGGGCCAACTTAGGTTATCATGTACTGGATTTGAGGCTGGAGTGAATGATTGGTGTGAGGTACGTGTCTCCTCGTGTTGTTGTTTTAGCTCTATGCTAGTGTCTGGTTGAGCTTCTACATTATTCTAGTTGGTCTGAATTGTTTCCTTAGATTCAGTATTCATGTTTATCTCACTGTTGGAACCATTATCAATGGATTCTGGTTTAGATGATGAAGGATCAGGCTTAGCAAGAGGTTGGAAATAAGAGGTTTGGATATGAGAAGGCTTATGTTGTGACATAAGGTCAGAAAAAGGATCATAAAATGGATATTCAATCGTAGAACGCTTCCCCTAAATGGGCATTTTGGGAAAGTAAGGAAGTTTTTCATCAAAAGTAACATGGCTCCGATACCATGTTAATTTAGAATAAATCAGCTGAGCAATTGAATTCTCAATTTCAAGAATTTATTTGATGCTAGGTCCATACATATAGGAATAGAAAATTACTGTAAAATTTAAAAAATTTCAATCTAGATAAAATAAATCCAATCTAGATAAAACCAAATGTATTATTTAATTTTATATTCCTATCTTATAGAAACAAAATATTGAAATAATAAATTAATATTGAACTAATAGAAAACTAATGGGGCCACTTGGATTTTGTGGACATGATTCAACCTGCACTTAAGCTTTTTACTTAGTAACTGATCATCTTGTTTTTTTTTTTTTGGCCTGATAGTAACTGATCATCTTTGCTTCTGGCTATTTCATCTTCTCGTATTCAAGAGGGGTTTTGGTAAATAGACATGTTTATATTTGTTCATGTTTTTTGGTACCCCTTGTTTCATTTGGACATTATCATTTTCAATCTACTGATCAACAAACAAAAGGCCAAAATATGACAAATGATCCTTGGAGCCTGTTAATTCTAGAGAGAATTGTAAAATAATTTCTTGTATTATTCATGATCAGACTATGCATATATATATACAAGAGAGAGGAGCCTATGCATTAATGGCGGAAATAATATTATATCAAATCCTATACTGATTGCATAATATTTATATATCTTTTATATCTTTACATTCCCCCTCAAGTTGGAGCATAGATGTTAATCATGCCCAGCTTGTTATAAAGATAGTCAACCCGAGTCCCATTCAGAGCTTTAGTAAGCAGGTCGTCCAATTGTTCACTAGACCTCACATGCCCGGTAGAGATAAAGTTTTCTGAGCTTGTTTTGGACAAAGTGACAGTCAATCTCAATATGCTTTGTACGTTCATGAAACACAAAGTTGGAGGCTATATGTAGAGCGGTCTTATTATCACACCACAGTTTTGTGGGTAACGTAGGTTTGAGACTAGTTACTGTATCCAGACTACCTCACATACGGATTGTGCCATAACTCGGTATTCTGCCTCTGCACTTGACCTAGATACCACATTTTGTTTCTTGCTTCTCTAGGACACCAAATTTCCACCCTTAAGAACACAGTATTCTGTAGTAGACCGTCTCGTGGCTTTTGATCCACCATGATCTGCATCACAAAAAGACTCAATGTTTGTATAACCGTGATTTTTGTACAGTATACCATGACCTGGACATCCCTCCAGGTAATGTAAAATGTGCTCCAAGGCTTCTCATTGTCTGACAGTCGGAGATGCCATGAACTGGCTAAGCTCACTGACTGGATAATGATGTCTGGGCGAGTCACAGTGAGATAGCTCAACTTGCTAATCAATCTTTTGCATCTCTCGAGACTCTCAAATGGTTTACTCTTCTCAGCCTCAAGTTTTCTCTTATCATCAAGGGAATCCTCAAGTGGTATGCTCCCATCAGTATCAAGAAGTAGGTTATGGATCATAGGAAAGCTAGTTGGTACAGCTCCTTGTTTTCCAATTTCTTTTACCAAATCAAGGATGTACTTCTTTTTTGTCAGGAGTATGCCTTTCTTGTTTCTTATGACTGCAATGCCTAGAAAGTATTTCAAAGGGCCTAGATCCTTCGTTTGAAAGTGAGAATTAAGAAAGGACTTGAGGGACGTGATTCCCGAACTATGACTACCTATAATCACAATATCATCTACATGCCCTGCTAGAAGAATCATGCCAGCCTCTGTCTTTTGGTAAAACACAGAATGATCGCACTTGCTCTAGTTCAAGCCAAACTTTTGCACAATGGTACTAAACTTGTCAAACCATGCACGAGGACTCTATCAAACCATACAGGGATTTCTCAAGACGACATATTTTCCCACGCTCCTCCTGAGCAACAAAACCTGGTGGTTGCTCTATATAAACTTCTTCATGGAGATCACCATGCAAGAAAGCATTTTTAATATCTAACTAATGTAAATTGTGAGCTGTAATGAAAGGTGGGAGGAAACTGAAGCATGTGATGTTTTGTATACTAAATTGTTGCAGGAAGAGGTGGTGGATGTAGAGGAGCGGACTAAAATGAGGAGTAATGAGGCAACTTCTTTTAAAAAATTGATCTCGGTGAAAACAACAAAGAAGGGATCTGGAAGCAAAATTGATGAGAAAGAATTGATGATGGGGAAGCTGGGGATAAGGAGGAAAAGCCAAATGATGATTCAGAGCATGACAAGGCCAAAAAGTTGAATAACAATGTAACTCTGGAATGTGAGAAAGGGAAGGAAGTGCAGAAGGAAGATACGGAGTCCCCTAAAAGGAAAGATGATCTTTCTAAGGCAATTGTTGTCTATAACAATGCATCTCCTATTTCAGAAGTGGCTCTTAGGGTCAAAAGGATTAATTTGAAGAGAAATAGGATGGAGGAGATGGAAAATGCAAGTTTTAAAAGGAGAAAATTGATCTTTGCTGAGTATGGTGAAAAGAAAGATCAAGAAAGTGAAGGGAAATATATGCCTGGAGAAAGGAGGAGTGTGAGGGTTCTGAAAAGAAGATTAAGAAAGGAAGGGGGGATGAAGCATAAGTTCAAAAGTAATAAAGAAGTGGAACTAGTTGATATGAACTCTGTGGGAACTGACACAGTTGGGGCAGATGTGAGGGATGCTTTTGGAAGTAAAGCTGAAGGTGATGGTGGCTGGCCTCAAACAGCCACCATGGGGCCATGATTTTCTTAGTGTGGAACTGTCAAGGTTTGGGAAGGGCCTTGACAGTGAAAAAACTGAGGGAGGAAAATTTGAAGAAAAATCCCTCAGTCATCTTCCTAATGGAAACCAGAATGATGGAAGCAGGTATGAAAAGGATTAAGAAAAGATGTAGGATGGACGAAGATGTGTATGTTGAATCGGTAGGAAGGAGTGGTGGCCTAGCTCTTTAGTGGAGGAAGGATATAACAATAAATATTTGGCACTATTCAAAAAATATTATCCACACGAGTATGCACTCTACTGTGCATAAGGTGCTAAATTATGTTACTTTTGTTTATGGTGCGCCTAGAGTTGAAGAAAAATTAGAGGTTTGGAGGAAGATGAGGAGTATAGCGAGCAGAATCCGGGGTACGTGGTTGTGTATGGGGGACTTTAATGATACGGCCTCAGTATATGAAAAGATGGGAGCAGACCGGTTGATACGAGAAGAATAATGAATTTCCAGAGTATGATGTCAGATTGTGCTCTAATGGATTTGAACTACTCTGGTGCTCGCTCTACTTGGTGCAACCAAAGACTGGGTGAAGCTCATGTGAAGGAGAGGATTGATAGAGCTATGGGGAATGTGGAATTTAGAGAGGTTTTTCAGTCAGCTCTGGTGTTGCATATAGAG